ATTTCAAAATTAACCCAATTAAGTGAGTTTTAAATCGTCCTACTTAGTTTATAAGGAAATTATGAAGAGGAACAAATTAAATGATTTGAAAAATGATATCTATGTAGGTGCTGACTATGTTGGCGGTTCTAGTGTTACCAGAAATGTAAATTAAATGTGTGTAATGGCAAATGCCATATATGATTTTCTTACCTGGAATTCTCCCTTTTTGAACAGACTTTTTGAGTCCTCGCTATATTGTCTGCAGTTCTAGGGTTAATATGAATCTAATATGATTGTCATCGGTCTAAATTAGATTTCAAATGATTACCTGTGTATGTAATGAAGATCATAGTGTGGGTTGAATCCATTTTCATAACCACTGTATTTTAACTGATTTAAATGCGGAAACTGGGCTTATTCATCAGAATTTCGTATGACTTGACTTGACTTGCTTGACCTGAGCAATGACTTGACTTGACTCTCACCACAGTGACTTGGGACTTGATTGATACTTGTAGGTCAAGACTTGAGACTTGCTCATGTAGGACTTACTCCCACCTCTGCTAGTATTTCCTAATCCATGCAAGTGGTTCCGTCATTTTAAAGTTTATTTTTCTACCTTCCAGTGGCCCTTCTGGTTTTGGTTAATATAAGTATAATATCAAAATCAACACAGAGAATGAAACGTACCATATATAGTTAATGTGTATTAATTAAGCTAATATCTGAAAACATTTTTGTTGAACTTATTTCATTGAGTTTTCATAGTGTTAAACTTGTGATTTGTTTTTCTTGGTGGTACATTAAGTAGCGTATCAGATGGAGCCAGAGTATGCTGGAGGAGATGGTGCAGGGAAAGGGTACATCATCAGAACAACGCTAAAAACAGTCTGTCCAACCTGAAGGACGTGTAGACAGGACATCTGTGCTGCTAACCCATCCAACAGAGAACTTAAAAGGCTTCATTTGCATTTTAAAGTCACTCAAATTAGATTTTGGTTTAGTATCTTGTCGCCTTCTCCACTGCTCCGTAGAGAAGATCTTTAAATCCTTGTTTGAATACATACACTTTGGCATGAACTGATTTACACAATGTATTGACTCAGGTTTTCAGAGGCAAAATCGACCTGATTCTATGTTCAAATGTTCTTAATGACATCTTTTAATGTGTTATCCCAGTTGATAGATGAGCAGGTACTGTGTGTCCACGGTGGTCTTTCACCTGACATCAAGACACTGGACCAGATCCGCACCATTGAACGCAACCAGGAGATCCCCCACAAGGGCGCCTTCTGTGACCTGGTGTGGTCGGACCCAGAGGACGTGGACACCTGGGCCATCAGTCCTCGAGGGGCCGGCTGGCTGTTTGGCTCCAAGGTTACCAATGAGGTATGTGTCGTCAACATTTCAAACTAATCAATGGAAAACGCAAACTCCTGGAACAGCAGTTGATGGAAAGTAATGCTCATGTTTTTTTATAGTTTGTGCACATCAACAATCTGAAGCTCATCTGCCGTGCACATCAGCTGGTGCATGAAGGCTACAAGTTCATGTTTGACGAGAAGCTGGTGACCGTGTGGTCGGCGCCAAACTACTGCTACCGCTGCGGGAACATCGCGTCCATCATGGTCTTCAAGGACGTCAACAGACGAGAGCCCAAGCTGTTCCGCGCTGTGCCTGACTCGGAGCGCGTCATACCCCCCCGAACAACCACCCCCTACTTCCTCTAAGGACTGGAGCCAGCTCTCTCTGCTCTCCCCCCTCTGGAGATCTCTCAAACTTAGTAGCTGATTTTAAGAAGTTCTTGGAGGTAACGTCAGGTCTACCACATCTTGAGTAACACATGGCTTCTTCCCAGTCTGCACCACTCATGATGTTCTGTCGTAAAAGAAAAAACACCCTCCTCTACATCCAATGAGAAAATGATACCTTTTTAAATGTCTTCATATTTTAATGATAAAAAATGTTGAATGCTTTAATTCTTCTATTATGTATACCACTGAAGCAAATAAAACATTTAAACTGGTGATAAATGCCAATAATACATGTTCAAATAAAGTGATATATATTTTATTAGTCATTGTAGCAGTTTGATCTCATGCCTTTTTAAAGACTGGACTAGGATGAGCATTCCTGGAATAAGGAGCTCCAACAAGCCGTTTAGGACAGAGAGTGAATACAATGTGAGTTTGGAAAATTGCACAATGTAAATCTATTCTAGTAGACCTCAACAATGGAATTATGATCAGTAGAAATGGCCATGAGATGGGACCTTTAAGATGTTCTTTTCTTTATAGTTATAATACTATTATTTGATGATAGTATGATGAGTTGTTTCTTTTATAAGCAATATTTAGAATTAACAGACATTATCTTCAAGATTCAGCTCAGTACTTTTTTTTTGTAGCAGAAGAGTTCTACTCGCTCACATTTTGTAATTTCAATAAAGCATTATTCATTAATCCTTATGAAAAGTACTCACTTTAAACTGGATGCATCAGAGGAAAGGTCATGGTCATTGTGATCCTTACATAACAATAATCAATTGTGATTAAAACAGGTGTTAATAAAGGCATCAGCCACAGAAAGAAAAATACCCAATTTAGCTGTGAAGCATAATGGTGAGAAAGACCATCCTGGCGAGTGTGCTCAATTAAAGAAAGGGTTGAATAGAAAAATATACAGAGAACACAGGTTGAAGAAACTCAAACAAAGCAGGTGGCACAGTGAAAAATACAAAGGTTCACAAGTGAATTAATATTATTGTCATAGAAAATAAGAGCATTGAGGATCGTTATACTTATACAGAGGGGTCTAGTGATATTTATTCTTTACAAAGTAGAGTAAGAAATGCAGTAAGCAGGGGAGAGGACAGTGGGGTTAACACAATGTCATTTATATATTAAATAAGAGGTATTCAATACTAAAGTACGGAAATTAAGAAATTCTTTCAGAGATACACTTGTATAGCAAAAAGGATAGAGAATAGAGTGCCACAGTGACGCGTCCTGAAACCCGGAAGTAAGTTAGCATTTTTACCACTTCCAGTTCCTTCGATAAAAGCAATGCAATTTCTCCATAGGATTTTGGAAAATAGCTCGAAATAAGGTCTGTGGTTGACACACATTTAAGAGACGGATCACGTTTTGTTCTACGACGTTACATACATCAGCAGTGACCCCACTGGTGATTTTTAAAGAGTTTAGGTGTCTGAAAAAACGATGGTTGTTAACAAGTGGCTGAATAGGACTACAGAAGTTGTTGAGGCCGTGGTACGTCATTACGCCGAACACGTAAACACTCCTTGTTTGCCCTGTTCTGCTTGAAAGCAAGTACCTATGGGCTCAGAACAGTCTCATAATACACACATGCACACAAAAGGATTCACAGTTGTATTTCCGGATCCACACCTGTGTTTTTCAATGCACACACAAATGTGTTCCGTTTCATATACATGTAAATAAAATCAAAATACAGAAAAAAGTTTTACATATTTGTTTTCCGTTTAAATCCCCTGAACCTACAAACACAAACCGCTTTCTGAGCACGGATCGCTGTGCATTCGTGTGTGGGTTTTTTGAGACTCACCTGAC